TAGGTTTCCCTATGTCCAAAGGGGGTTTTGCTAATTTCCTCACTTCCTGACTGTGGTCTAGGCCAGTAGTCACCAACCTTTCGGACCTCATGGACCACCAGTGGTCCATGGACCACCAGTTGGCAACCGCTGGCCTAGAGCACCTGCCTCAGGAAGTCTACTGCCCAGTAGGGAACCTTATGTAATGTAGGTGTCTCCCTTTGTGAAGCACAAGGAATTTGGAGGTGGTTCACAGGTTCCTGCATGTGAGATGTCCTATTTAGTCTGTGACTCCTTTGAGGGGTCTTAAGCTGAGGCATTGAGGCTGGGAAGTAATAGGCACACGCTTGGGAGCACAATTTGCTGTATGTGACAATTACAATGTCTTTTCTCTGTGTCAGACTGGGGTCCCAGCTGAAATGGGAAATGTCATCTTAAATGTGTGTACAGGAGCCTGACTCTCTTCCTCCATCTCTCACAGTCCCCTGCCTCACCACCTCCTTTCCTCTAGCCCTGCCACCAGGACTCCATCCTTGTCCAGCCCTGTCCTTCCCCAAGGTTCTATCTCCTTGACCACACTGCCTTCCTCCTCAGCAACCAGCCTTTCCTCTTTCGTACCCCTCCCGTCCGGGCTTTCTGCTCCCACCCCTTGCCTCACTCCCCCCAGCCCCTTCGCTGGATGCCTGCCTTCTCCCTCCCGACCCGCCTCCTGTGTCTCCCAGCCCTGCTCTGACGTGGGAGGTGAGGGGGGTGGGGGGATGGATGACTCACAGTGTTATGATGCAGTTCCACAACACACAGCTACATTCACCCACAGACCGAGGTACAGACGGGAGGCAACCTCTGGCCCCCCAGCAGCTGGCCAGCTCTGCAGCCCCAGTCTTGAGCCCCTAACTCCCCTCCCCCACCCCCACCCCTTCCCAATTGAAGGAGCGGAAAGAGAAGAGAGAAGAGTGAGGAGAGAGAGAGAGAGATAGACGGAGATCTCTGGAGCAGACCTCAAGGTGAGGGGGCAGCCCTTCTCCAAATGATTTTTTTCCCCTTTGCAAATTTCCTCCTCCTGCTGCGTGTTGCTTTCTCCCCTTTGCAAAAGCATTATTCATCCATCCTTTGTCCTCCCTTCCCCCTCCCTGCTGCCTCCGCTCCTCAGCTCCTCCATCCCTCTCCAAGCTCTGCCGGTTCCGCACTTATTTCCCGGCAACTTTGGCTGCAGCATCAGGCATCGCTGTTGATAGTTTTGTGGCTGTTGCAGCCCACCCCCCCCCCCCCCTTCAACCCCCACTCCCAAAGTCCGCCCTGGGAGCTGGCTGCGCTGCTAATGATTTTGGACCATACCATGAGAGAATGCCAGCCCAGAGGGGGCCGACGCCTCAGAGCAGATGAGAAAATCCATTGTGAGTGCATGGCCCCCTCCCGTTTTTTCCCCCTGAGGGGCACCGGATTCGCACCTGGTTCCTTGGAGCCTCTGCCTTGGGGACTCTGCTGTCAGTGATGGTTGCTCAGCAGCCCTCCCTCCCCAACCCTCCCTCTTCCCCGCCTCCCACGGTCCAGCTCTGGCTCACTCGGGGAATATCCTCTCCACAGCACTCAGCTTGTCTTTGTTTTTCCCTGTCATTTGCCCAACTTGCTTCTCTCTGTGATCTGAGATGGAGAAGATATGACCCCTACCGCCCCTCCTGTGAGTGATTCTCTGGCCTGTGCAGCCTCTGCTTTGCTTGATGGGGAAGCAGGGGAGAGAGAGGGTGGGAGGCGTGAAGGAGGCCCGGGGAAGGAGGCCGAACAGGGACCTGGCCAGCCCCCTCCTGGGCCCTTGAAGGTGCGCTAGGTGGAGCCGCAGAGGGCCACCGCAGGCAAAGTTGGAGGCAGACCTGTGAAGTGGATGCTGACCAGTTTGTGCTGGTGAGGAGAGCCTGTTTCTTGCGACCTGAGCCCAATGTCACCCTGGGTGTCTTCCCGGGGCTGGCCACAGGGACAGGACGTGGAACAGAAGATGGTCTCTGTCTGGGGTTTTATGGAGAGACTGCCGGCCCCAAGAAGGACTGGAGCAGCTGGGCCCTCGCAGCCACTGCAGAGGGCAGGATGACAGCCTATTTGCCCTGGCTACCCGGAGCCCCGCTGCCTCTGCTCTGCCTCAGGGCCTGCCGTTGCCAGAGAGCACCCATCTGGCACCTCTGAACTAGACTTGGACTAAACCACCCGCCAAGGCCCTGAAGGCCCCATGAAGGAGAAGGCAGCACCTCACCTGCTTATCGAAGCCACCAGAGGCCACCTCCCTGCTTATCCTCTGCCTCCAGCTCCCTCAGCCACGCAGGGGCTGGCGTTTGGACAGATGTCAACATCTTCCTCAAGACTCCTAACCAGAACCCGGCAAATATATCTTCTGTCACCCACAGGGGCACTGCTGTTTGTCCCTGCCTCCAGCAGAAGGTGGGAACATTCTCTGCTTTGTGCCCCAAAGCACAGCTTTTGAAAATTCAAGTCCCCCCTCTTGCTGCTCCTTGAAGATGTTGTCCATACACGACACCCCCCAGCCCTGCTCAGCCCAGGAGGAGTGCTGTCCTTCCTGCAAGGGGGCCCGTTTTCCATCGAGTCCAGCCATCAGATTTGCCTGAAGAGAGTTTCTCTCCTGTAGCTGGGGGCCTCCATCCTGAATTATTGGCTAAGGCCATTGTAAAGAGCAGTAGAAAGAGACCGAGGGGTCGGAGGCTGAGAAGACAGCCAGGCACTGCCTCTGAGCCACACAGAGTGGACCAAGGGGCAGGCTCAGGCAGTAACAGCCACTTCCAAGGTCTCTGGTAGAGAAGGAGACACCCATGGGGTTCTAGTGCCCAGGAGAGGAATGAAGCCTGGTGTGTGCACCTGCTGGCCTGGCCTGCTCTCCCTCTCATCTTCCCCTCCTCCTCCCACACGAAATGTATGAAGGACCAATTGTATTGCAAATTGAGGCGATGAAATAGGAAGACTGCCAGACATCCCCAAATTCTAAGAGGCTTAGAGCCCCAGAGCCTATCAGAGCATGTGGGACACAGATCCTCACCGAGGAACTGAAATCAAGGAGAGCACTGCAGATGGCATCGCTCCCATGGCAGCGTGGACCAGCAGCTGCTCCCCGTGGAAATGCTGGAGGCTGCTCCCGCCCCGGGGGCAGGGGGGGGGCGCACGGTGAGACAGCGCCTCCCCAGCTAGGGCACCTGCGGCCTGGAACTGCTGCCAGGCTGGTCGGAACAGATGGGAATCCAGGGGACAGGGAGGCTCAGAGCGACTGAATGCTGAATTGATGGCGATGGGGCACAAAGGGCAGGGGTGAGATGAGCGCCAGGTTCGCCATTCCCTCGGGAGGGGTTCCACATGAGGCCACAGCTCTCCTGATGCACCTTCCCCTCTTCCCAGGTGACTTCTATTCCTACCTGGTTCACGTCTGGGGGGGGGGCCCTGGCCGGGCAGCCCCCCCACATTTCTCCTGCCCTGAAACACGGCTCTAGCCAACCTGCTCCGCTGCTTCACCTGCGACCGCCTGTGTGGGGGCTGCACAGCGCCGGCCCCACCGGCCCGCCAGGGCATCGTCCTCCAGCCCGTCATGCCCAGCTGTGACCCGGGTCCGGGCCCCGCCTGCCTCCCCACCAAGACCTTCCGTAGCTACCTGCCCCGTTGCCACCGCACCTACAGCTGCGTCCACTGCCGAGCACACCTGGCCAAACACGATGAGCTCATTTCCAAGGTACGCCACATGGGGGCCTGCCACTCCCCTCCTCTCCCCCACAGCCTGCCCTTCCTCCTCCATGCCCCTGGGGATTCACTGCCTGTCCCCTGTCTCCACAGTCCTTCCAAGGGAGCCACGGCCGAGCCTACCTGTTTAACTCCGTGTGAGTCCACCTCTCTCTTTGTGTGTGTGCGCTTGTGTGTGTGCGTCATGTCCCTCTGTGGACAAAGAAGGTGAGCCACCAGAAGGTGGCCTTGCAACGCTGCTTTGCGTCCCCTCTTGCAAAGGGGTTCAGAAGCTCAGGTTGCAGTTCTCTTGTGGGGAGTCTGGGCAGAACTGGAATCCCCTGTTGGAGGAAGGCCCAGGCACTCGTCTTAAAGGGGCAGGTTGCTGAAGGCAGGGGCTCCCAGCTGGGCGGGTTAAGCTCTCCAGATGGAAGTTCCTTTGGGCTGTTGGGGGGCTGGACTGACAGAGCGACACCACTCGGTGCTGGGTCCCTCCTGTTTCTTGAGACAGGGTCAACGTGGGTTGTGGGCCGGCAGAACAGCGCCTTCTGCTCACGGGGCTCCACTCGGTAGCTGATATTTTCTGTGAGAGCTGCAAAACCACACTGGGCTGGAAATATGTAAGTACAGGGGAGGGGCGCCCCCCAAACGGACAGTCTCCATGGCCCTCCAAGCCCCAGTGGGGTGGACTGGGTGGGGGGACTTTCAGGGCAGGGGTAACACAGGAGGTAGGAGGGCCTGGCAGGGACTGCGTGGTCCCACATTCACCACTCCCTCCCCACCAGGAGCAAGCCTTTGAGACGAGCCAGAAGTACAAGGAGGGAAAGTACATCATTGAAATGTCACACATGGTGAAGGACAACGGCTGGGACTGAGGGGCTCAGGCAGGCAGTGCCCTTCCTCCGCATGCCCCACCCTCCCATACCTGTCTCCTGGCCCTGACAAGTGGTCTGTACCAGCATGAGTACTTGCTCCACCCCTGGGGGGATCCCGGCTCCCACCAACCCCTCCCGCCTCCACCTCATCACTCCCAGGCCTCTTTGGAACAGGGGTCTGGGGGACTCCAGGGGTGTCCAAGGCTCAGGAGTGGGCAGCAGTCAGGAGAGAGGCAAAACTGGGGAAAGGGGTGGTTGTGGGTCCTTCTAGCCCCGAGGTCCTATAAATGGAGGAGATGGCAGGCCATGCGTTAGGCAGAAGCCAGTAGGAGGAATCTGCTTTTGCTCCACCTTTTTGAGTAAACAGAGGACAAAGCTCGAGTCAGGGGCTGGTATATCCTGGGCCACTGAATAGCAGAGAAAACGCTTGGGTTGGGGTTAAGTTTGGGCCTCATACACAGGGAGAAAGCAGTCTCTGAGGGTGAAAGGAAAAATCTCAAATCCCAGGCCCTGGGAAAAAAAGGAATCACAAGGGTTTCCATTTCACTCCACTTGTTTATCTTGGCACTAAAGAGGCACTTTCCAGTATCTAACCTTTGCCACTTAGTGGGATGGGGAGAGCTGCCTCGGGAGCAGCCCCCACCCCCAGCTGGCTGTTTCCGGAGCGAGTGGTCTCTAGGGGCATTCCCTGAGGCCCAGCTACTGCTCCCTGGGACGCAGTCCCAGAGAGGGGAGGCGGGAGATCAGTGCTACGGGGCCAGGCTTTCTCGTGGCTGCCACCAGCGAATGAAACTTTTGTATGATACATAAAGTGTTTGGGTTTATTTTTAATAAAAAGAGGAAAAGCAGCTATGAAGTGCTGTCCTCTGACTTTCCTTCCTTGTGCAAGTAACCAGTCCCTCTCCCCCCCGGGGTCCCTTCAGGCCACTAGGGGGCAGCAATTGCTTTGTCTGTGGCAAAACCCCACTGGAGTTTTTGCTAAGGGATGGGTATCCAGGTGAGGTTTTGTTTGGTAAGAACGATGGCTTTTGTCATTCCATTTGGAGCACCCAAAAACAGCTTGAGTCTACTGGAGCCCTTGATGATTAATCAGTTTTGCCTGGATTCATGATGGGACATCTGGAAGAAACTCATCCCAGAGCTAGGGTGTTCTTGGGTCCCATTGCCTTTGCATATTTGCTGATTCTGTCATATTTTGGTCAGCTCACAGCCATACTTAAGGCTAAGAGGAAAGTCGCCCAGCTAAGGTGCTGCCCTGGCAACTGATACAAAGTGGAACAAAACAGTTCAAATTTGCAGCATCAACGCAATCATGTGACCCAAGTGCAATTTTTTTGGCAGTGATGTGAAGTTGCTATTGTTGTTGGGTCACTGACAACTGCAGGGAGGACTGTACACATTATAAAAACCAAATAACAAGCTAGCTTGTTATTTCCAGGTTCACTCATTGATACTGCAAATATTTGCAAAGCAACTATTGCTTTTCAGGCATGGTGTTAACCACTGGATATGCGAGTGAAGAGCAAGGCCGCATGGTCTGACTTGATGGGGGTCTAGTGGGAGGACAAACAGTCATCAGGCAATTCCAATAGAAGGTGACAAGATCTGAACAGGGATGGGGAGCAATCTTGGGAGCTTGCAGGAGAGGCTTAGTCAAAATCTGAGTCAAAAATAAAAATCTGAGTCAAGGTAGGCTTAGCGGAAGTGATGACTGTGATGGCACCTGCAGGATGAGAAGTTGGGTGGGTGAAGAGTAGGAGGTGGGGGAATAGGTCAGGCAGCTGCATCAGGTGGCTCTTACTTAGCCAATTTGAGGAGGAAATAATAAAAGTTTCCCCTATCTGGAGTATAGGTGCAAATGGGTGAGAGATGAAAGGACACAGGAAAGACAGGCAGCAGTCACAGACCATTTAGGGAATCAAGATTTCATCCCGAGGGCATTGGGGAAACACTGAAAAGTTCTTGTTTTTTAACAAGAGTGGAGTGGCATCATCAAATGGCTTTTTTTTGTGCCCAGAGAAGACACTCAAGTAGAACCATTAATAGACTGAGGAAAGTACGGGACATAAACTGTGTAGCATCTCCAGTGCTGTCAGATGTGAGAATGGAGCTGTCTGGGCAGAAGAACAGAAGAGAACTGGAAGTCCGGTGCAAGAAAGCAAATGCATCCCCATCGGAGAGGCCTTGGGAGGGGGGGGGAGTGTCTGCCCCCCTGTTCAGTGTCTGCATGCCTGGTGATGTCTAGAGATCCTCTCAGGCTGCAGCGAGGGACCCAGAGCCCTGTCCCTCTTGGTCCCATTTCTTGCAGCAAAGTTCAGGAAGGTTTCTGAAGCTTCAATCTCTGACCTTGAAAATCAGGCACAAACTAGCTGCCTTCTTAAGGCTCCCCAAATATGCCTA